ATATATATATATATATATATATAGGTATGTATAAAAGACAGACAACGCTGCCTTGTGATTAATTTATTTCAACACCATATCGTCGCGAACAATTGCTACAATAGTTGGATGTTATTGAAAATATCTTGAGTTTTACAGATTCAGTAAGAATATTTTAAATTTATAAGCAAAACCTTGTCTTAGTTTTTCTCTCTGTCTCACTATTTAATCATACTATTCCCGACAGTCACATACTCCAAAATCTCACTTCTGTGAAAAGATTTGTTGTCATTCACACTAACGTAACAGAAAAAAATGTGTATGAAAGAAAACTTTCGCAAAGATGAAGAAGTTTCTACTTTTGAAGAATGTCAATACATGCTCCTTTACCATTTTCTTTAGCAAGAAATAATGCTGTTCTCCAACTATTATCTCTCATTTGTCTACACGCTCCTCTCTGCAACAGCTGCTTTACGCATTCGGCGTGCCCATTCCAAGCTGCAAAATGCAGCGCCGTCCAGTTGCTGTTGCCTAAAGCATTGACGTCGACCCCGTCGTCGAGCAGCGCCACGATGCAGCTTCTGTGTCCTCCCTCTGCGGCCGCCCACAGCGCCTCTTCACGCGACTTCTTCGCGCCCGCGCCTACTCGAAGAAGAATCTTCAGTACATCAAGATATCCTCTTAGCGCTGCGTTCACCAGCACTTCTTCCGTTAACTGATCCTTCTTAGCTCCCCTCTGCAACAATACCTCCACGCATTCGGCGTGACCATTCACAGCTGCAAGATAGAGGGCCATGTGCCGCGTGTTAGTATCTCGCGCATTGACGTCGACTCCAGCGTCCAACAGCGCAACGATGCAACCTTTATGGCCTCTCCCTGCGGCCGCTCGCAGCGCCATTTCAAGCGATTCCATCGCGTTCACGCCTACCCGAAGCAGAGCCTCCATCACTTCCAGGCGCCCGTCTCTAGCGGCCTCCACCAGCGCTTCTCCCCCCGCTGGCCCCAGCACCAAGTCATGGGCCTCGTCTGCGAAACTCCACACCACGCCCGCACTGCCAGCCGCACAAAGGGAGCGCTTCAAGAGATTTGTATCGCCCTTGCCGGCCATTTGCAACATTTTCTCAACAACATCACCATATCCCTTCTTGGAACTCAATAGTAAAGGGTATTCATTTCTCTTGTCAACTGTAAACGGCGAGGCGTTCTTTTCTAAGAGATATTTTACTATGTGTAACCTCTTCTTCTTAACCCCCGTTAAAAGACAAGTCTCTCCTTTGTTGTCTACTGTCTTCATGTTCGCTCCTTTCCCCAAAAGGTATTTGACTAATTGTAAGTTTCCTCCTTCGACTGCATACATAAGAAGCGTCCTCCCTTCCTTGTCCGCTGCTTCTGGCGTGCCCTGTTGCAAGAGCCAAAGCACAACCTCCGCGTGACCTCCCTGAGCAGCCAGGGCGGCGACGGTAGCGCCATCTGCGTCTCGAGAATCAAGTTTAGCTCCGGCGGTCACCAAGCGCGCCACGATCGTCTCATGTCCTTTGGCGGCTGCGCAGTGAAGAGGCGTTCGTGATCTTAAGCCGCGTCTGTTCACCGCGCTCCCGTTGGCGATGAGGATGTCGACGACCTCTGTGCGCCCGCTGCTTGCGGCGATGTGCAGCGCGGTGTTGCCGTCTTTGTCCCGCGCGTCGACCGGAGCTCCGTCGGCGAGAAAGCGCTGCACCGCCGCCGCATCTCCTCGTTCCGCCGCCTCGTGCAGCGACGCCGGAGGGTTGGTCGAGCCCGAAAGTGCCGACGGAGGCGGTGCGGAGGGTCTGGAGGTGGGCGCAGCGCCCTCGCTGAATGGGGCGGATGGAATCGGGGACCCAAAAACAAACGCCGATTTGGTGCTAGCTGAAGCATTCGCTCGTGGCAAAGCTCTGCCTCCCCCGGCAAGTAGACCATGCTGGAGATTTTGTTGAGGCATCCCGACTGGTGAGTCGGCGTTGGTTGGTGCTGTTGAGTTTGGTGCGATGGATGCGACATCGGGAGCCACAGCCGCTTCGTGCGAGGGCTGAGGTGAGAGGTGTCTGCCCAGCAGCTCCTCCACTTTGGGCATCACGCTGTCCACCGCTCGCCGGACAGACTCCTCTAATTTGCTCATGCGACCTTGCTCGTGGGCGAGACACTCCTCCATTTTCGCATTTCGCGCTTCCATGGTTTGAAATCGTTCCTCCATTACGTTTTGAATGTTCTGCGGGAATTTCTGCAATTGCAGGAAATCGGAACGTGACTCCATGAGTCCCGCGTTTCCACACGATCCATCCGCCCCAGACTCGTTGCTCGACATCTCGAATCTGTGAACAAAACATGAACTATGCAGTTACACGATGGGCAAAACCATTGGAAATAGCGATCGAATGTACATTGTATATATTATTTCTTAGAGTGATTTGAAACTTTCAAGTTTTATGTTTATAAGAAAAGATAAATATAGAAAACATAGTGAGAAAAATATATATATATATATATATATATATATATATATATAAACTATTGTAATCTGAATATCGAACGAATTAAGATTTTAACTTAAAATAATGAGTTTTTATACTTTATATTTCCATTAATCAGGCTCCACTTTGTTATAGACAAACAGTTCATTTGAAATAAAATTAACATTTCATAAATATAGTTTACTTTACAGTCTTGAAATTGCGTTTCGGAGCCTTATTGTCTCCATCAGGTAAATAATGTATAGCTACAAAAGGTTTAAATACAAAACTTAAAAATTAAAATATGAAAGAATAAAATGATTTTTTAACATAAAGAAAATATGTAAATAGGCATAATGTTGATAAATAACAATTTCTGTTATATATGATTTTTTAAATGAGTATCCATGTCACTAAAATAGAATAATTTATCTACATACTCAGTCTTCAGTGGTAAAAGGTTATAATTAGGAATCCAAACATTAGTGGAATACATTCTATTGTAAACTGTATCTGTCAACTTCCATTCCTTAACTGAACGTCAAATGATGGTGGGATAGGGCGCTGAGGGAGGGGGAGGGGGTAAAATGAGAGGACGGGGATGAAGTGAAAAAAGTAACTAATGGAAACATTGTTTGATTCTATATAAAATAGTCATATGCATTAGTGAAATGCTTACATTCTACCATTGAATTCATAGTTTTATATTATTTTTGTATGTAAAGTTTCCGAAACTCTTCGCGGAAATTTTCAAGTATCAACAATACTAACATTATCAAAGTCCAATTGGTGTCCCGTTTTTATCCTATGAATCGTGGCAGATTTCGATCTATTGGAAGGTTCTCTAATATTTCTCATGTTCTCTGATTCTTGTTACTAATTTCCTTTTGATCTGTCCTGTGTACTATTCCTCCAGCTTTTATATGCAGCATAAGGTGCCGAACGTGCATATAAAAGCACGAGGTTCCGTAAAGTGCAATATCACCCTTATCGTACAATATCCAATAACATGCCGTCAACTCGAATCTTCAAAATCAAGAACGTGGGTTCTTCCAACGCCGGCAACATTTTCTCAGATGTCTTACGGAATGGATCAAAGTAAGCAGAAAATATAAGATCATGGAAGAATATTTAGAGTTTTTAAATCAGTTTAAAATATTTTGTATTACACCACGTTTTATAAAACGTAAAGGTTTACTACATTTTACTAACAGTGGGCGTTTCCAATTTTATGAGAGAAATAAGAGAAAGTTTGATTCTTCAATATTTAAACAATGCATTTGTGAAAAATTTACCTTATTGTTTAGGTAGAAACCAATTCCCAAAAAATTAGAGATGAATTAAAACTTTTTGAAAGATCAAAAGTCCTAGATGATTTGTTGCACGCAGATGGTAAAATTGAAAAGTGTTTATTGGCAACACATTGAGATTAAATATCATAAATTGCTCAGCATATGTAAACAATAAACAACGTTGATCCCAATCAAAAGACATTAGTTAAAAATAAATGGTTTCATAATCTCACGCAAAAGCAAATTCCTGAATACGTCATCCTCACAATCAATGTTGGTTCAAAATTTAGCTTTCCAGTAATTGAAAGTCACAAATCGAATGTTATAGTAGAGAGAATTAAAGAGATTTAAAATCCCATGAGAGGTATTCCCAGTGACGAGTCCCACCAAATTAGGGCGAATTTATTGATTCCATTGAAATATTTTTACATAAAAAGATTAGACATTCCCCTAATAAAAAAATATAAATACTTAAGAACTTATATTTAACAAAATATTTTTTTAATGAAAACCAAAATATTATTATCATTAATTCTGATAAAGGTGGAGCATTGGTTACCATGAACCGTGACGAATAAGTTACGAAAGTTAAAACTTAATTTAATGATTCCTCTAAATATGTTCAAGTTTCCAAAACGAATCATCCTCACCTTGCGTGACGGGAATTTATCGCGACCTATGTTAATTTTCTTTTACTTTCCCGCCTTACGAATTCTTCGTAAGAAGAGAAAGTTATGTAATCGTGCGGCGGAAAACGACACATTTTCGCTAAAAGTATTATTGCCGGGCTCTGGCAACGAAAAAGTGAATAAATCCTATTGATAAATTTAGAGGGGAAATCCTCTATCACATGGTGTAGCCAGAATCCATATTTTTTAGTTCTTGATACCGAAAATTCCATTGACGGAAAAACGTCCGTGGTCAAGCCAAGCGGCTAACCCGTTCAGTCTATTTTCTCGATTGATATTGCTCAATAGGTCTGGCTGATGTCGCGGCCCCTGGATTTTGAAACCGATATTTTAATTTTGGGAGGTACTTTACATGAAGTCCCTCAGACACTTTCACAGACAACCAAGAGGTCGCCGGTTCGAGTCCCATACAGGGATTTTAATTTGATGAAAAATTTATTGTAGAAAAGTATTTGGGATTCGAGAAACTTTATTGAAAATCATTTGAAGCATTCCAACTCACAAATACAATTATTACATATACAAATAAACCGGACATCTCTATACGTGCTTTTGCAATTTGTAACTTTTAAACGTTTGTTTGTTGTTTTTTTCAACTTTCTTTTGTGATTTGTAAAACGAATGTCACGTCAAATCAATTGTTAAGGTTCTGTTAATCTGTATGAACCAATTTAAGTACTCTAATGAATCTATCGACATGAAATTAACATTATGATCAGTAGCCATGTGACCAACTTAGATATCCCTAACGGTTCAGAAATTATTATTACACTCTCGCCTTACAAATTCTTCGTAAAAAAGGAAAGTTATGTAATTGTGCTCCAGAAAACGCCGAAATTTCGCCATAATAAACTTCATTGCCTTGATCTAGTAATGAAAAAATTGATACATCCTGTTGGTAAATTGAGAAAAATATCTCTAACTCGTGGTGTAGACAGAATCCATGTTTTTGTTGGTTCTTGATACCGAAAAATCGATTGATGACCAAATGCTCGCCTGTTCGTCCGTGGTTAACGCTAGCGCCTAAACTGTTCAGCTGATTTTCTTCAAAATTGATATACCCTGATTGATCCTAACGGACTGGAGGCTTTGAGAGTTTCAAGCGGATATTTTGATTGTTTAATTTTTTTACAAAAATCGAGCATTTACCTATACCTTTGTCAGTTTCATCATACAGCGCTTCTGTGGTGTAGTGGTATGAGTGCCGGCACGTTAACTCTGAGGATCCGACTTCGAATCTCGGAGCGGGAAAAATACTACTTGACAACACTTTTTCTTTGCTACTTG